ACGAAGTAATATTTTTTTTAGGTTTTCTTTCAATGCATTAACACATTGTTTATATAACCCAAGCAGGTCATGATTTTTAAATATAGTCATTGTTTCTTGCTCAAAGCAACGTGCTTGCGAATTTTAAACACTTTTATAGTGTTGAAGAAATAGTATTTCGAGTCATCATTAAAAACAATAAAACACATGGTGGTTTCAGAACGTACGCAAAGCAAATTTTTTTTGATATTTTGCTTATTTAAACATTATAGTTATAGTGGAAAGTAATTACAATTACCCATCATACCAGACTAATGTTTCTATTTTCAGTCCGTACAAAACGTTTCTCGACTGAGTTGTCTTTTTAAACAAGTATAAAATGTGAAATGCCGGCAGAAATCTCTTCGATCGTGTTGTGACTGACAGTCGTTACAGCCATTCCGTGCGTATTATGCGTGCTATTTTAATTAACCCTACTCGCTATAAAAGTCTAGAAATGTGTCTGTAATATTAAATAACTATTTTAGCACATTTCTAAGCAATGTATACTACGCTCTTATAAACTTATCCAACTTAACGGCGTATCTGAACCTTGCTTTTATACGTAATCATATAAAAGCTTCATCGGAAGTCGGAATTGTTAGCCGTTGCTTCGAGGCGCTGTTTTGCAGTTATAAAGATCATCGTGTAGTCTGAGTTATGTAAAGTTTTAGTGTGAAAGCTAAGTTTTCCTGAATTTAGTTCTAATGTACCAGACGACATAGAACATAACCTTTACTTAAAGGTTTACATTTTAAATAAACTTCAAACTACAATCCTGATCCTATATATCAACTGACTAATAAATCCTGACTATTTCTTTTTTATACTGTTAACACAACTCCAGTCTGGAGTATTGTGTACATTCCTGTTTGTAAATCTTTATATCCGTTTAACTCAACTACTGTTAAACAAGTTTTATTAAATTTCATTGAAAAAAAAGAGTTGTGTATGACTTCTCTAAATTAGTAGTTTTTTTTTTAAAATAATCACGGTCGCCTCTGTCTCTCACTTGTTGGATTTTGACCAAAAGTAATTTGACAGGTAAACAGTGTGTTATACATTCACTAACTTATGGAACTTCGCATTATTTTCCAATAATATTTTCGATTTAAAGATATTTTATGCTTTTATTAAGATTGAATATATGAACAAGAAAGTTTGGTCTTAAACGAAAATATCTTTTGTTTATGTGTGTATGCATGTGCGCGTAAAAGCGTTCTGTAAGGATGAAAATATCAATAATAGAAAAAAAAATAAAGAATTAAATATGAAACAAACAATAAAAACAATATGGCTTTATCCCTCATATGAAAGTATATATATGTACATATACAAGTAATAAAAACATTGTAAATGTGAAACGATGTTAGTTGGCAGTGCTAAAAAGAATGCAAGCAATAATATAGGGATGTACAGCTATAATAAATGATCCCTGCCTGACTTTCAATGTTAAAATTTAATGTTACACTGTAAAATGCACGAGTACAAAATGGTTACAAGGTCGATCAATTCGACCGACCTTGTAGCGAGAGTCTGTAATAATCAAGACTTGTTTTGGCTCAACTTGGTTTTCCTTGTACGTAAGTCCTAGGCTTTTAGTTACCTTACATTGATGCCTACCCTGACATGCCCATGATATTATGATAAACAAATTGCATACCAACAGTCAAAAATATACAACTTACAACTGTAGTATTTTTTAATTCATGTATACACCTTACAGTGTAACATTAAATTTTAATATTTAAAGTCATCTAGAAATTATCTATATATAACTATATCATCCCTATATTCTTGTTTACATGCTTTTTGGCACTGCCATCCCTACATCATTTTACATTTACAAAATGTCTTATTACTTGTTTTGTGACGTGTGTTTTGTGAACGTATGTAATAACATTTAATATTATGTATGTTGATTTTTTTACTCCTTCACTTCATACATAATATAGGGATTAGCTCCCTAAAGACGCCGATTGTGTACTGTACAAAGCATTGAGCATTCTACATGTTACAGTTATCTAATGTTCATCCATTATTGGCTGGTAATTCCTGTTTCACCCTGTACTTAAGCTTTTTAAAGAAACACCAGCTTTCTGTAAGAAAATTAACTTTAAGGGTTAATAAGAACATCGTTTCACTAGAATTATGATGTTTTTTTAATTAGTACTAATTATTACGACCAAACGATTACATCGTGCATAGCCCAGAAACACATAGAGTGGATTTAGGCTTAGACTGATGTTAGTGATAAAGTAATTATAGAGTTATCTCGACTGAAACAAGAAGAAGAAAAATGAACAATTTGGTGGAATGGTCACTTTTTGGTTTAGTGTCTTAAAGATGGTTTCTTGCCTTGTTTTTGGGCTTGTTGGGTAGGGAAACAAACGGTAACGGTAGGTAAACGGCAACCATCTTTCAAAGTAAAATTCTGTGTCATTTTTATTTCTTTTAACATGCATATTTGTATTATGCCTATTGAGTGCCTTGGCCATCCCTACGTAGAGTGTACCGACTCTATGATACACACACATATACAATATAGAATTTAATGTTACACTGTAAAATGCACGAGTATAAAATGGTTATGAGACCAGTCAATTCGACCGATCTCGTAGCTAGAGTCTGCAATAGTTAGAGGAAATCACTTAATAATCACCATGTATTTGAATTTACTGCGTACTGAGTTCCTTTTAATGCAGGTATTTCAGAATTTCAAAATATCTGAAGGCAAAACCAATAAACATAAAGCAAATTAAATGTTTATTTCTTTGATATTTTGTGTGACTACCTTTACCTGACATCTCTTTCTGAATCCGATTTGAATGCATTTTACAAGATTTTTCAAGATACTCTATGGGAATTGAATTCCAGATATCTTGAAGTACTACCTAGAGGTCTCACACACACACTCAGCACTATTGAAGTTTGGACCCTGAGAAGACCATACTATCCATGAAAGGGTTCCATCTGCTTCCTTCCTATTAAGATACTGTTTTACTGTGTTTAATGTTTATTTGAGATCGTTATTATGCTGGAAAATAAATTTTTCCCATTAAACGACGTCCAAACGGCACAGCATAATTAATAGAGTATTTATTTATATTGGACAAAATCTAGTGCTCCATCAATATGGTAAAGATACTTGAATTCTACCCCTATCATGCTTAACTGAAGACTGCAGACAATTGTTCTTTGATCTCTCACTGCTCCTGTGATAAACGCATTGGCGTCTATTGGTTCGAAACATCTCAGTCTGTGACTCATCAGAAAAAAAGTTCTTTTCTCCACTTATCGATTGTCTAATTTTGGGGTTTTTTGCAAACTTAAGTCTCTTGTTACAATATACCCTTTTAGCTCTTCTTGGCCCCATCTGCGTCACAATGAATAGGTCAGTTTTAACACCAGTGATTTTTTGAAGTCTTGCAGCGAGGTAGCTACCAGAGTCTCTGAGTGAAGTAAGCCTAAGTTACTTAACACCTAATCTGGAAAGTGATCTTCCTAACCTGTTTTTTTTTTTCTATCAGTGGTATAAATTTCATTGTATCTTTTGACTAGTTTTTAAAGAAATTTCTCGCTCTCTGTAGTTATATATATATAAAACTGTTATGTTGTGTCTGCATTTTGGTAATATATTTCGTACTTGAAAGTAGAACAGTCGTGGTAGTTACAGACTAAAGAAAACTGTCTACTTTTTACAAAAGCGCATAATAACCCGATAAAAATGTTTTTAACATTTTTACAATATAAAATTAACGAATTTATGGTATGCTATTTGATGTTAGACGTCAGTATAATTATTACAATTTTACAACATCTAAAAGCTACATGTCCCTGTTTTCAGAAACATGACTATTGTCAGTTCTTACACTCTTATATCTCACTTTTAGGATTCATTTAAATTAAACGTATGACTTGGAAGGTATTTAAATAAATACGAGTTTTACACTGACATTGTTACAGTAGTTCATCCTGGACCATTTTTTTTTCGTACTGAATTTTTCCACTTGTTTCACATTGTTTATAAAACTTGTAATTATTGAGGTAATCATTATATATATATATTTTTTGTTGTTGTAGTTCTTTCGTGCAACGTACATAAAGGGCCATTTTCACTCTGTCCACCAGGGGGAATCGAACCCTGGGTTTTTGCGTTGCAAGTCCGTAAACTTAACGCTGATCACCGGCGACCAATGTATATGCACTACTGTAAAATGGTCCAGTGCTTTGCTGGCGCTACGGTAGTAACGTAATGGTTGTTAGTTTAGTGGTCTGATCCCTGTTTATTGTTGTTGTTTAGAACTTATTGCTCATTTATTCATAGCAAATACTAACAATAACTTAATTGATGCAGTGATTAAAGTGAAATTAAACACACAGATAGTGGTCACTCAGGTAACTGTCAATCAAAAATACTTAAATCCATAAATTAACCCATCATTTATAGGGCAACTAGCAGGTAGGTAAACTGTGAAATCCATAAACTTTAAGACCCCAAGAAATATTATTTTCTTGGCACTTGTGTATAATGTTAAAATAATAAAGAAACAACACACAACGCTAAAATCGATACACAATTAAAAACGTGGACTCTACTTGTTTCGACGTTTACAACGTTATCTTCAGGAGTGAACTTGCAAGACATAAATGTCACATTTAATTGTGTATGGATTTTAACGTTGTATGTTGTTTATTATTTTAATCCACGTGTCTGAGTAAGGTAATTCATTTCAAGAAAATATAGGCCAATGAGACACATTGCTTTTTTACTATTTAATCATGATTCCAAGAAATTTATCATAGATGTGTAGAAAATGTACATATATTTGTTTTTTTGAAACATTACTATTTACTTGCATCATAAAAGTGTAATAAATTCGTACTTTTATTAACAAGAAACGATAAAAAGTGCTTCTCTTTCGTATCAGGATAAGAAACAATAACTTGTAATCACATTTGATTATCTTTTATCTTCTCAGATGCCAGCTCGTATGCTCATTACGTTTTCAAAACATTTGACCAAAACAGGAATGGAGCTATAAGATTTAAGGTAAGCTTCTTTTTTTTATCTTTTGATGAAAGTTGGTTTTCTTTCGTTTTCAGGAAGTAGATTTTAAGGATTTGGAAGAAATTAAAGCTGTTCCAGTTAAGTAACTTAAGAATATTTTGGAAATGATCATATGTATACGTATACAGTATGTATAATTATGGAAACGGCGAAGAAAAGGGATAGTAAAAAAGCAAATACCATGGGAATGGCACCTCCTTTCTCGTGTGAAAATGAATTGCACGAGAGTACGGTTACAGTCTACATTGTAATTAGGTATCATCCAACCGACTAGAAAGTGTTACATCAATATCATTATTATAGAAATACGGGCAGTAATATTATGCCCAGTAGTAGCAGGATAAATCCAGTAATTACTTCTGACACTGAAATACGGTATAAAAACGCGTAGGAATCAAAGTTGTGTCTCGTCAAGAATAGTCCATGCGAAAAAGTACGTCAGCACTTCGTTCTTCTCTCAGAAGTATCTCTATGCAAGACTCAAAAGAGAGTATGTAAAACTGGTAATGTTAACAATAGTCGTGGTCGTGGTAGAAAATCAAAATCGTCCAAAAGTAATGTTAAGTATCTCAGAGTAGGTTCTTTGTGAAATAGATAATATGGAGCAGAGATCTTGAAAGTTATCTTACTATAAAAATATGTTCTATGTGAGATAGATAATATGGAGTAGAGATCTTGAAAGTTACCTTACTGTGAAAATATGTTCTATGTGAGATAGATAATATGGAGTAGAGATCTTGAAAGTTACCTTACTGTGAAAATATGTTCTATGTGAGATAGACAATATCGAATAGAGATCCTGCAAGTTACCTTACTGTGAAAATATGTTCTATGTGAGATAGACAATATCGAGATCCTGCAAGTTACCTTACTGTAAAAATATGTTCTTTGTGAGATAGACAATATGGAGTAGAGATCTTGAAAGTTACCTTACTGTGAAAATATGTTCTATGTGAGATAGATAATATGGAGTAGAGATCTTGAAAGTTACCTTACTGTGAAAATATGTTCTATGTGAGATAGACAATATCGAGTAGAGATATTGAAAGTTACCTTACTGTGAAAATATGTTCTATGTGAGATAGACAATATCGTGTAGAGATCTTGAAAGCTACCTTACTGTGAAAATATGTTCTATGTGAGATAGATAATATGGAGCAGAGATCTTGCAAGTTACCTTACTGTGAAAATATGTTCTATGTGAGATAGATAATATCGAGTAGAGATCCTGCAAGTTACCTTACTGTGAAAATATGTTCTTTGTGAAATAGATAATATGGAGCAGAGATCTTGCAAGTTACCTTACTGTGAAAATATGTTCTTTGTGAAATAGATAATATGGAGCAGAGATCTTGCAAGTTACCTTACTGTGAAAATATGTTCTATGTGAGATAGATAATATCGAGTAGAGATCCTGCAAGTTACCTTACTGTGAAAATATGTTCTATGTGAGATAGATAATATGGAGTAGAGATCTTGAAAGTTACCTTACTGTGAAAATATGTTCTTTGTGAAATAGATAATATGGAGTAGAGATATTGAAAGTTACCTTACTGTGAAAATATGTTCTATGTGAGATACACAAAATCGAGTAGAGATATTGAAAGTTACCTTACTGTGAAAATATGTTCTATGTGAAATAGATAATATGGAGTAGAGATCTTGAAAGTTACCTTACTGTGAAAATATCTTCTGTGTGAGATACACAAAATCGAGTAGAGATATTGAAAGTTACCTTACTGTGAAAATATGTTCTATGTGAGATAGAGAATATCAACTAGAGATCTTGAAAGTTACCTTACTGTGAAAATATGTTCTATGTGAGATAGATAATATGGAGTAGAGATCTTGAAAGTTACCTTACTGTGAAAATATGTTCTATGTGAGATA